ACAAGCGACGCAAGTTTCTGAAGTCGTGTATTTGTGAGAAATTCGAAAAATATTCGAAATAATATATTTACAAAAAAAAAAAAAAAAAAAAAAAACTCTCGAAGAGCATAGCGAGGAAACAATTCGTCGTGTACGAGAGAGTCGAGATGTCTTTGGGAATGACTTCGCAAAGAAGAACACGATGATGACAATGATGCAAAAATAATGATGACGATAATACAACGATGTCACTTAAACTCGCTTGCAAATGACAAATTGCAATGAATTTAAAACACAATGCTAAAGTTTCGTTACAAAATATGTGGAAGAGTTAGTGGTAGGTGATAATTTTTGAGTCTCGAGAACTCTCTCTTCACGTAGCACTGTGTAAAACGCAGTTTAAACAACGCATCATTGATTCAGAATCAACAGCGATGATTTATATATATGTACATATTATATGTTACATATATGAATTATATATGTATGTAAATGTGCGCGCGTGTACGTGTGTTCTATATGCATGTATTTCTATATAAATCATTTGCTGCCGCTTTAAGAGTAAAAAACAAAAAATTTCACTATAATTGCAATTTCATCACGCAACTTTTTCACAATTTTTTCCCCTCCATCTTTCTCTCGTCAATCATTCACTCGCTTACTCTTTTACGTTCTCTCCGTTTATGCGAATATCTAGTTCTTACACTAGACAGTTACTGTGAGCTAAGAATGAGAGAATTATTTAATAGGAACTTTTTTTTATATTGCTTAAGTCTAAAAGAAAAAAATATATATATATATACGTATATACATATATTATGCTACAGTATTGACTATACTATATATTTATCTCGGAATTTCTATATCTATAAATAGTCAGGAGAAGAGTATACTTTGACGGAAGTATACTTTATTTCGGCGATTTTTTTTTTTATATAAACAACAGCAACGATCCGTTCTAGTTATCACACTCGTTAATTATTAGACGCGATTGTCAATCAGTTTTACAAGTCCGATTGGAACACAATCTTCGCAATACACAAAGGATAACACAAAGGAAACGTGCAAACATGTGTCTATTAAAAAACGACATAACGTTCGCAAGGTCGAAATCCTTTGGTTAGAGAAAATGTCATAAAGAGGACGCAGTTCAATCATAATAACAATCGTCTCCAATGAAAAAACACAAGTTACGCCATGTAAAAAAACGTTACAAAATTCATACTCATCAATAAACTTGACGATGTAACGTGTATAAATAAATTTTCTAATATAAACGCAATATAAAAGATAAAGAAAACAAAAAATATATATCTTTTTTCATAAAATAAGTTTTTCGGAGAACAAACAATTATTGTTCGATAGTTTCATGCTTATTTTTTTTGTACTACGAAATATTTTTCAGCAGAGATTCTCAAGATTATAATCTACTGAAAATGAAAAAAAGAAAATAAACATGTTGCTTGATTAAAAGCAAAAGTGTAAATTTCGAACTTGCGTTATAAAAAAGTCGTTAATTGTCGTTTGTTTAAGAAATATTGTCCAAGAGATCAGCCAAACACTCACCGGCCGTGGTACTGGCTGTGCTGGTCGCAGTGCCGGTGGGATGTTGTTGTAGCTGTGACTGGACTAATGACATTGCCGTGGGATGGAGAAACACAGATCCGTACATCATGTTTTCGTCCGATTGTTGTTGTTGCTGGCTGACTTGTTGACCGGCCGCGGCGGCGACCACTGACGAATTACCGATACTTGGCACGCCAGTAGTGCCGCTGCCGCTGCTCACGATTGGCGCTCCGGGGGTCGGAGGCACCAAACTGCCCTCTTCAACGGCAATGCGTACGGATTCGATGTGCCGCCGTGAGAACACGTGTTCCTGCAACGGTGTCTTAGCCGAGTAGCGCACAGAGCATAGTCTGCACTCGTCTGGTCCGGTTGGTCCGCGATGTGGTTGAACGGCAGAGCCCTCAGCCGGCAAACCCGCCGCTAACCTAGCCTTCTTTTCCTTGGCACGGGCATTCTGGAACCACACCTGCAACTCGGCTTCATTAGTCTTCGTAAACTTGAGCTGAACTCAGACGGTCGTACGGCAACTAAAGGCTCGTTATGCTTATGCACGAGGATCATCGATGCTCACCTGGACCACTCGTTTCGGTAGACCAATCTCACGGCCCAGCATCTCACACTCGGCCATCGTTGGTGTTTTGTAGTCCGAGAAGAGCGACTTCATCACCTTCACCTGGGTGGCTGACATTTGCGTGCGATATCGTTTACCGCCCGATTGGCCGGTATTGCTGCTGGACTGCGTGCCAGTTACAGGTGGTCCTGGGGTGTTTCCAATATTTCCGCTGGCAGGTCCTTGTCTCGTACTTTGAGTGCTTGAGGCCGGACTCGCCGGGCCACTCTCGTCATCCAGAAATTCCGTGGTCTCGCTCATACTATCGTCGTCGCAGATACTTCGTTCGGATAAGTCGGTCAGAAGTCCGCAGTCGCTACTTGGGCGGGGAGGACCACCGTGTTGTTCTTCGAGAAGATTGCTCAAACCGCCCAGACTCAGTTTCACTGATCGGCTAAGATCGACCGGCTTGCTCAGATCTAACGGCGATTCGCCGCTGTTGCTACCGGTCTGATGATTCGCCGTTTCCTGTTTTCCATTGCTTGTTTGTGACAGTTCGGTAAAATATCGTCTCATCTCGTCGTAGTATTTGGATTTCAATGCCTCCATATCGGGAAACACTGAAGGAATATGAGGAGTGCTCGAGTTGGAAGGAGCGGATTCCATCGAGAGCTCTTCGTCCGGGATATTATCAATATTCACCTCGCCTCGAGCCACTTGATCGGAGTGCTTGCTGCTCAGATGAGATTCCAGAGCGGATTTCACTTTGAATAACGCCGGGCAGAACGGACAACGCTTGTTAATTACTTGGCTGTGAGCGCGGAATTGGCCTTTGCGCTCGCGAGCGCGTGTATTCTGAAACCACACTTGCACCACGCGCTTCTTCAAACCGACCTCGCGAGCTATCGTCTCCAGCATCTTCCTCGATGGATTGGATTCGACCTGATACTTGTTGTAAAGATATTCTAACTGTTCCGGTAATATAGTAGTTCGCAATCGTTTGTCCTTCGGTTGCTCGCTGTGTTCCGAGTTCGAACGATTGTCGCTACCTGCGCCTTCTTCAATTTCCTCGTACTTTCGTTTCTGTATCATAGCGATGAGCGGATGCTGCGGAGGATCTGACGTGATAGGAGAGGTGAGCGCTTGTTGTTGCAAAATTCCGAAAGGTGAATCAGGCGGGTAAGCTGGCGGGAACAGGGACGGGTTCATGATATGTACTAGCTGATGCTCGCGCCAAAGCTCAAATCTTCCGAACATTAAGTTGCATTTGTCGCACTGAAAGCTACCTTCTTTCGATTCTGTTTGCGACTGTTGTTGCTGTTGCACCTGCTGTATCTGCGTTGAATGGGAATGCAGTACCTGAGGCGGAGTCTGCTGCTGATGCTGATGCGGCGGCGTAACCGTGCTCAACGGCTGTTGTAGCTGTAACTGCTCAGCGAGCGCGGGCGTGGTTGACGGATTATTGGTCACCGTGTTGCTTGTCGGAGTCGTTGTACTGCTGCTATTGCTGTCCTCGGAACTTAGAACCGCGGCAACCTGAGCCGCGGCCGCCTGGGCTTGCGCGCTTCTTTTGGCATCCTCCTCTTTAAAACAGTGAGTCTTCTGATGGCGTATAAGTTCGTAATATCTTTGAAATACGAGTAGGCACTTCTTGCATTGATAATTCAGTCCTGGTGTTCTTTGAAATCTACCGGATCCGTCATCGGTTTCGCGTCCGCCCGCTGTTACAGGTTCGGCAGCCGGTTGATTTTCGTAGACTTTCCGCGCTTTTTGCCTAGCATTTTGAAACCAAACGACAATCACTCGCGGGCTCAAACCAAGAAGTTTACTGAGATATTCTAAATCGTCGTCTTTCGGATACGCATTGTTCTCAAAAAATTCCTGAAGAACTTTTATCTGATAATCAGTAAACCTTGTTCGATTAGCTCGCTTTCCAGAGCTACCACCGGACGTGCTGCTACCATTGCTACTACCGCCGAAGGAATAATCTGTCGGTCCGCGACCTGGACTTAGAGATCTCTGTGGCGTGAGCGCCATAGCGGCAATCGCGCTTGGCACCACGCCACCCGTGCCCGGAGTGGGATTCGCAAAGTTTTGAGGAGCTAGTTTCGGTGGTAACATCGGAGTGCTCGGTGCGTTTGTAGTTGATGGCGGATGAGACGAAACGTCATGATGAATACCCGAAAACACCGAACTCATACTAAGCGCAGGCGAATGCGGTCGCGACTGCTGTCCGCCTGAACTACCGGGCGAGTGATGCTGCTGTTCTTCCTGATTTTGACCAATTTGAGAAAGTAACGTTTTGTCATTCGACTGCTCGGATTCCTGCTTATTATCACTAGCAGACTGCGACGCGCTAGTGTTCTGTGTGGATGGTGGAGGTGTAGGTTGTTTCGGGCTTTTGTCGTCAGAAGAACTACTACCGGACACGCTGGAATTTAACGGAATCACCTTCGCCTCACCGGTTTTTTCATACTCTTCCAGATTCAAGGTGGTGCTCGGCGGATTATTGAAGTTATAGGGACTGTCTTTGTTTCTTTGTCGTTCTTTGAATAACGTGTTTCTGAACCAGTGTTTGATTACTTTGGGAGGCAGACCGCTCTGAGCGGCCATGTCCAGAATTTGCTCTTCGCCGGGAGAATTATTAATGTCAAAGTGCGCTCGTAATATCTTTAACTGTTCATCCGTGATGCGAGTACGCGCCCGTTTCTGTGAAGCAGCTACGTTTGCCTGAAAGGTTCAACAAATTCGCACTCTTTTCTCGCTGATGTTCTATTTATGATTTATGCAATTGATTTTTCGATTTTTTATGTTTTTACATTCAGACGAATTTGGATCTTTGTGAAGCCAGAAAAAAATATTTTAAGTTTCAATTATTCTAACAAGTCAAACTAATAAGTTTTAATTTAATAATATTATGATATAAAAAAATATCGTTATTACTATTTTAAAAATAATATATTTTACTTTGCAGCGAGTTTGAAAATAAAGTAGTGTAATTTCAGTTCGAAATTTTGTCAAAAAAATTGTTTTACCGTAAAAAAAAAACAGTAAATAAGTAGGTAAATAAAACATAATAAATCTGATCATTCTATTTTATATTTACTCACAGCCGCTGCTGCTGCCTGCTGTTGCTGAAGAGCAAGATGTTGTTTGGCAAGAAGATCTGCCTGGTTGATAGGCGGATATCCAGCAGCTGCAGCACCATCGTACGGTGGTGGTGGTAGCATCATTGGCACTAGAGGTGGTTGCAGATTCATTGCCGCCAGAGCAGGTACATTTAATCCCAATGGTAATCCCATCATTCCCATCATGAGTCCCGGATATTGTTGCAGCTGTTGCTGCAATTGCGACGCTGCCATTGCATTCAAAGCAGCCTGCATTTCGGACATTTGCTGCGCCAAAGTAAGTTGAGCATGTTGTTGCTGCTGCTGTTGCTGCTGTTGTTGTTGCTGCTGCTGCTGTTGAAGTTCTTTGTGTTTGTATGTTTGAGATTGTTGCTGATTGTGAGACTGCGAATTGGTAGGCAGCATAGTCGGTGTCGTAGATTCTGTACTTGAAACAGGAGTGTTGGACAACGCCGGCGTAGTCGCCGGAGTGGTTGAAGTAGCTTCTGGTGTTGTACTACTGTTTCTGAGCATATTGTCGTCGTTCGCCTCTTTTTCGCGCGATTCTTTATCGGAGCTAAGATCTTGAGGTTGCCCGGCAGCTGGTGTGGAACTTCTTGGCGCTGTAGTGGTTGACGATGATGTCGCGGCGGTTACCACGACGCTTTTTTTTTCATACTCGCATTTGAACTGCTGCGCGTACTTCTCGAGAAATTCGCGCGGCACGAGATCGCGATGAACCTCTTCGCAGTGAGCTTTCAAGACCCAAACACTGCTAAACTCCTTATTGCAGTGCTGACAAGTGCTACGGGTAAGTTCTGGTATTACGTCGTCGTCTATGTGAGCCTCCTCGGCCTCTTCTTCTTTTACTTGTGCGGCTTGAGCAGCGAGAGCTTGTTTTTGTTGTTCTTGCTTTTGTTGTTCCTGTTGCGCCTGAAGAGCCGCGGCCGCTTCTTCTTCCTTACGCTGTCGTCTCTGATGATTTTCGTTGAACTGCATAACAAGATCGAAACCGAAGCTCTCCAACAGGTGTTTGTACATTTGCGAGCTCTTGTGTCGCGGTTGAGAAAGAATGTCCTGCGTGGTTTGCGACTGCTGCGTGGCTTGTTGTACGAGTTGTTGCGATCCTGGTGTTGTGGACGTGGGAGGAGGTGATTTTGCGGGGGTGACTGAGGACAACTGCTGCGAAGCGAGCTGTTGAAAAATCGCTAGCGGATTGAAACAATATAAATTCTGATGCGTCGACAGCTGCTCCTGACTGACAAACAGAGCGTTACAGCGTGAACAAGCGATCATTCCTCCCGCGTTGTTCGCGTTCGCGTTGCCAGGCGGACTGTTCGGGCTCGTTGGTGGCAGTTGCTCGATCAAAGATCCGAGATCCAATTGTCCACTGGCTGCGAGATCCTGCAGTTTACTGGCGCGCGTTTGATGAAGAACGCTTCTCATATGGATATCTAAAGTGCTGCCCTGGGTATAAGCGACCTTGCAGATGTTGCACTTGTACGGCTTCTTGTCCTGATCTTGTTGGGAATCAGGAGATTCGGTCGGGCTTGCCAGCGGTAGAACCGAGATCAACGTGTTGTTATTACCTTGCTCTTGCATCGCGCGTTTCAACTTGTGCAAGTGACTCACACTGTTGTAATGAACCAGAAGAATATTTTTTTGCGTAAAACTCTCCTTACAGACGTCGCACTTAAACGGTCGGTTGGGATCCAAGTACTTTTCCATCGGATAAGACATCTTCTCGCCTTTGCGATGCAACAAGGTCTTGTTGTGACCAGTGAGATAGCTCTGACGTGTAAAAGCTACTTTGCATCGATGACACTTAAATTTTCGAGTAGGATCGTTGTAATTGTCTTCGGCAACAGTTTGACTGTTCAGATAATCCTCTATCAGACGTTGATCCTTCGGTAACGATGAAGTCTCACTGGTGTCGCTCTCTTCCTCTTCGCCTCTGCCAGGATCATCTTCCGGATTTTGTTCGCTGGTTATGCCGCTTTGTCGTTTCAACGCGTCTTCCGTGATCGAGCTGAACAACGCGTGTGTCTGGAGCAGATTTTGCTTGTGCTGAACTAAATCGTCCTCGTGGAAATCGTGAGATGTCTCCAGGTGTTTTTGGAGCGCTTGAACTGAACGAAAAGATCGTCCGCACAAGTTGCATTTAGTCGCGTCTCTGATCGCGTGATACTGCGCGTGTTGCTGCAGCTTCTCCAAGGTTTTGAAGGCGAGACTGCATTGTCCGCATCGATATTTGTAAACGTGTTTCTCGCTAACCGCCAGAGAAGGCGCGGTGGCAGGATGTACTTCCCTGTGGTGTTGCTGAAGCGATTCTATGGTACAAACTCGGCCGCATATAGTACAGCTGGTAATCTGCTCGGTTTCGTCATTGCCACCCCGTTCGATTATCTCCTCATCCTGATGTTGTTTCGTCGTTGTCGTCGGCGACGTTGGAGTTGGCGTAGGAGCCGTTACAACCGGCGTCGAAGTGTTTCTCGGATTGTTGTTCAACCAATGACTCTGATCGACCAACAACAACAACCTCTGCAAACCGTCGGCGTTAACAGAGTGAATTTGCATTACATGCTTCTCCAGAGCGGGGCGTTCCTTAAAAGCGTCTTGGCACAACGGGCATAATAATTCTGGGGCTGGCTCCTCCTTGATCGTCTCGGTTTTCTCTTCTGAATTTTGTACGTGAGCCACTTGCAAATGTTGTCGTAACTCTTCTCGCGACGTTGGCTGATACGTGCAGTACAAGCATGAAATTTCTTCTTGATCGTTCTCGGGTTCCACTTCTGGTTCTGGGTCGTTGTCTGGTTCTTGTTTCACTTCGCTACCGCAATCGCTACCTTCTTCTCGACGTTCTAGAATCACACAAAGTAGAAATAAAAAAAAAAATTTTTTTAATCGCTTTGCACCTCAAATCCGAGTTTCCCGTCAGCAATACGTGACCAATAAAAAAATTAAAAAAATAAAACTAAAAATAAATAAAATAGTTTTTTAGAGAATTTCTCAACTTTAATCTTTAGAAAATAATTATCTCGAGATATAACAGTTTTGTATTTCAATAAGTTTTTCAAAATTATTTAATAAATAATAATTTAATAAATCATAATAATAATAAGATTATTTAAACCGAGATTTGTTATAACAAACGTCTGTTTTAGCCAAGCCAACGTGATGTTAAACTTCGACATTAAGTATTCAGAACCGGACGGGCGCGCAAGACGGTCATCTATTTCGCAGCGATTCGTTCTCCGAGACATTAACTCGAAACGCCATGGGAGAAAGTAAATTATAGATACTACCGGGTAGAACGCGCTACGCGAGAAACGTAAAGTTCGCGTTCAGTGTCACGTACGGCCGACTGTGTGTCGCCGATGAGAACGTTCTCTAGCAACGCTATTAAATTGATTAGGCATGTTCGCGTCCTCCCGCGCCTCTGCCGATCGATTCGCGGAAAAAGAAAAAAACCATTAGCGATGTAATTACACTTCGACCGATCTTTTCGGTGCGCTAATGCGCGGACAGAAGGATTTTACGTAAGCGAGCGCGCGCGTAACGCACGGTGTCACATACGTGTCATCGCGGAGAGAAAGTTTTTCCGGCGCGCGATGAGCGTTGTTTGAGAAGACGCGCGAAAAACGGCGAAACGCGCGTTGCAGATGCCTCGCGATACAATAAATATATATGTCAAAATTACAGATTGGCAATACCGAATTACCGATAGCAGTTTTTCAGCGAGAAGAAGCGAGACAAAGAGAAAAAGCGAGAAGAAAAGATATAAAGAAAAAAAAAAAAGGACCGCGGACATTGTCCGAAAGCACACACTTGCGCGGCGTCAGTTGCGACGTCGCGTCGCGGAGCAACGCGCGCTGCTGGTCTTCACCTCGCTTCTTCACGTATGTATTTATTATATGTAAGTACAGAGTTCGCCGATGTGTAATAACGCACGGCATATTGCGCGCGCGGTGGCGTCGGCACACGCCATGCGACCATATGCCGCTCTCGAAATTATCATTATTAATGACTAATTGCGAGACAAAATAAAATAATGAGAACGTCGAGTTCGCTCGAAGGTGTAGCTTGGTGAACTTTTGTCGCGCGAATTGAGAACCAATATATTCCCGATACAAAAGAGGGTTGAAAAATTAAAAAAAAGTAAAACAATCCTCGCACTTGTTGCAAAATTAATGTTTCAAACAGTGTGTATTGATGTGTTTCAAGAGAACGTGTTAACACATCTCATGACAATGTAGTGTTATGTGATATCAGATTGTTTGTTTGTCTCACCGTTGTTGGTGCTCGTGGCATTAGGTGTCGTCGGCGTGGTCGGGCTGGATTGTTGCGTAGGCGGCACGTCGGGATCGCTCACCACGTGAAAAACGTCGCCGATGTCCGTGTGCGGGGTCTCGTTACCCTGAAGGTTGCTTCTTCTGTGCAGTTGATGCAACTGTTCCATCTGCAGATGGCGTATAGATCTCACGTGTTGCAGAAGCGGTAGTCGATGTCGGGCGTTGAATCCGCACAGAGCGCAGTGATACAATTTTCCGGGGGTTTGGATGTTGTTGCTCGCCTCGACGAGATGACGGAGCAGAAGAGCCGCCGCCTCGTGTCTGGGCGAAGTGGCGTGCATGGCGAGCTTATGAGCACTGTTGGTGTAATAATCGCACGCGTGGCAACGCAATTGCGCGGTACTCGTGGGCGAAGCCACGTATTTGAGTTTCCACTCGTTGCACGGACCACCCTCCTTCACGTGGTTCACGTGCTGCAGACGTTGCAAATGCTTGTCAGTCTTGCAGTGCAGTTGAAAATTCGCTTTTAGGTTGGTTTTGTAGGAACACAGTTTGCAGATGAAGTGGGCGTTCAACACCGTAAGTATCTCACCCTCGCGATTTCTCGTTCTGTCGAGAGCCAAATGATGGCTCAAACTCTCCAACGAGTCTGTCGTGAAGTTGTTACAGACACAGCAGTGGTAGAGATGGGTCGGATCCTGGTCTGCTGGTTCCGGAGGAGGTTCCATACTGTCTGGCGAAAGACCAACGTCACCACCGAGATTACCCATCGCGCTCATGTTCGCCATGCCGCCCATGAGTTCTGGCGGAAGTTGGGGAGGTAATTGACCACCGGTCATCATTTGTATCAGTAGCGCTTGATTGTAAGCCATGTCAGCCAGTGCCGCTTCCGCGTGTTGAGGTTTGTCCAAGCCACCTAGATGAAGCAGTTGTTCAATCTGTTGTTGCGCCTGCTGATGATGATGCTGCGCTTGCTGATGCTGATGTGACAGCGCGGATAATGTTTGTATATGTTTGACGTTTTGCTGGAGCACAAGCATGTTGTGCGTGTGCTTTTCGCTCGTCATATGTATCCTTAAATTTCGCGCGACGTTTGTCTCGTAATTACAAACGTCGCATCGAAACGTAGGTTTCGGTTTACTTTGGTTACCTGTTTGCGCCGTCAAATGCGGACTGTGGTTCTGCTGATGATGCGGACTCCGCGTTGGCATTGGCGCGTCTTGAGACGAGGATGGATTACTAGCACCGGTACCACCTCCGCCACCCTGTTGCAATTCCTGCATATTGTTCAGATGTTTGTCACTCTGCATGTGAATGCTGAGGTTGCCCTTCGTCGTGGTTGAATAATTGCACACTTCGCATCTATACGGTTTGTAACCGCAGGTGTAAGTCTCGCCGCGCGCTAACCTCGGATGAGGCTGGCCCGCGATACAGTAGATGCATGAAGTCTCACTTTCCGGATGTTTCTCTTTCATGTGTATCTCGAGAGTTTCTTGATATTTATAGTGCCAGTTGCACTTGGGACATTTCAGGGTTTTGCATGAGTTTCGACTGTGAATGCCAGCGAGAGGACCGCCGGGACCGGCTAATCGACTGCTGGCTAATATGAGTTCACATTTCGGACATTCGACTCCACTCGGTCTACCTTGCATATGTTCCGGACAGACGCCTATCGTGGTGCCGGTGAGAAAATTTGGGGGAGCCTGAGTGAGCGCGGCGTACGAAGATGGAGATCCTTTCGTTGACGAGGTCGGAGGAGGGGAACTGTATATGGCATCAGGAGCTTTGGCCCAGGACGCGGCGCTCACTTGAGCCCCGGTCCATTGATGCTGCTGGTGATTATACGTGAGAGGATGATTTGAATGTGACGTGGGTGTGGATGGAGTACTCGGCGAAGGTCGCTGTTGCGACTGATGTTGCGCCGCTTGTTGCTGTTGAGGACTACTAGGTACGCCTGGTGTGCTTGCCGGTGTGCTCGTCGTCGTTGGCGTAGTTTCGTGATCGTTTGTATCGTTTGCATGTTGTTGGTTCTGATGACTCTGCGTCTGTACAGACTGCGGTCGCGCACTTGTGACAGGTTCCAGAAAACTAACGAGCGGCTGCTTTCCTCTACCCACAGCCTGTATGATGGCTGACGCCGTAGAATGAGAGAGTATCTGTCGTTCGTCTTCCATTAAAGTTAACTGATGCTCGCCCTGGGCATGCGCAACGAAACTTTTCGCATACCCGAAACTGAGCTTACATATGAAACACATTAGGATAGGTTTAACAGGAACGGACACAGCGGGAGGCGGTGGTGGTACTGTGGGCTTCGGAGGAGGCGGCTTCGAACCTTCCACGCTCCTGTAACTAATCACCCTGTAACTGTGCATTACGGGAAGATCTGGGGAAAACGGATCGTGCTGTTGAGTCGCCGAACGTTGTTGTTGTTGTTGCTGTTGTTGCTGTTGTTGCTGATACGCCTGATGCGCGTATAATCGCGATACAAAATACGCGCTCGCGATTTGAGGGAAAACTAAAGAATGAGGAACCGATACACCGCGACCATCTATAATACAACCGTCTGGGAGAACCGTGTCTTCGTCGCTAAACTCGTTTTCGCCTTCGATAATATAAGCCGATCCATCCGGATTGTAGACAATCTTACCGTCAAATTTTTCGACATCACCTTCCGTTGGACTCGGACTCGGGCTAGAACCCTGTTGTTGTTGTTGTTGTTCTTGCTGTGATTTGATCATTATAGTGGTCGTGGTTGTGCTTGTTGCCGTGGTGTCCGCGATGGGTGTAGGTGTTGGTATTGCATCGCGGGTGCAGGGTTCCGTGCCCGAAGGTGGACTAGCCGTGCGGGGGTGATGGGGCTGATGGAGTGCAGCCCCAGCCGCCGGGGGAGAACCACTCCCCCGGCCCCCCTCCTCCTCCGGGCTCATCTCCTGCTTCTGCTGCGTGTAGGTGGAATTTTGGAACGGACCGCCGTGTTGCTGCTGTCTTTGTAGTTGTTGTTGCTGATGATGATGAGCCGCCACCAGCTGCTGAAAGAGCTGATGCTCGATCGCGCTCGGTGTGTGTTGCTGCAGATGCGAGGGAGGAATATGATGCTGAAGGTGGTACGGGGGATGGGGCTCACTGGAGGGCATCACCCCAAACGTGAGGCGGGCGCCAGCCTCACATCACCTATGGCGCCTGCGCCTGCGTTCTTCGGACTCTCTCTTCGTCTTCTTCTTCCGCACGGGCTGGCTCGCTTTCTCGCCAATTGCTTTTCCGTTTTTTCTTTTTTTTTCCCAGCGAGAGACGGTTCGCTAGCAACCCCGACGCAAGCCCAGGTCGTACCTATAACAGCAAATAACAAAAACTGATTTTATAAGTGCACTTAATTATTTTTATACAATAATTTACAAAAAGATATTTTGTAAATTTAGTTTTTGTATTACAATAAATATTTTGTTGTTTTGACAATATTTGTAAATTGTCTGTAGATCGGAAATACTCCGGGACTGTTCTCGCGAGATGAGTCGCTCGTTAGCTCGCTCGCTCGCTCGCGAATGAATATTTCACACGGAATATTTAGAAATCGTCTGGTCGAATAATCCAGTCAAACAAGTCGGAGCGTATCCGAGGACGGCCGAAAGATAGCAGAAATACGCAGAACTGCGGCAAGCTGCGTGTGCAGAGGATTGCCCGGGAAAGACGAGGCAAGGATAGATACACAAAGACGCGGAGAACTGCCGGCAACACAACGGCTCGTTGTGTTCGGCTTACCTGAGTGAGCCCAGCTGTGTTTGCGATCGATCGGCCGGAGCTTATCTGTCGATGAAATATCAATGTTTCCGTTCGGGCAATAGTGAGAGTAAAAGACGCGAGGAGCACGGCGAAAACTCAATCGTCTGGCTATGAATACCCCCGCTTATAATATACCCTCAGATAGAAGATCCTTCGTCGCGTCCACGTATGTTTCTCTCTCCTTTTATCAATGTGAGCTTTTCGTCATATATATATATATATTTATATATAGTTAGTATGAAATAGAGCATTGTTCCCGTCCACACAAATAGTTACGTAACTCCGTTCACTGAATTAACTTCTTTCTGCGTGAATATATCGCGTGACGTTATCAAGTAGTGCAAACTTTCAACTACATTTTCGCGCAGATTCGACACTTCAGCAGCAATTGTCATTCCGCCGTACTTAGAGATTCACATCCTTTGTCGTCGTAAAATGTTTTAATTCGCTCTCAAGTAAGATTCAGAAAAAAATTCAAAATTTCAGTTTTTTAATTTTATAATTTTTTATTATTGTTTTTATTTATGTTTTTATTTCACCGTGGAACTTATTCGATTTTAATTTGAATAAATCGAATTACAAATCGAGAGCGGACGCGTTGCAATTTCGGGTTGGGGGGGAGGGAGGGGTGAGAGAGGAGAACTAACAAGCGCCGCGCGAAAAAGATTAAGCGCATTTTGCGCGCGGCGTTTCCTAAAACGAGGAGGTAGCGTCGGCCGCTTTGATTACCGCACGCGGGAGGATAACACGCACGCGGGAGCATAATCCACGTTTTCCACTGAAAACGTGCGCGATGATGCGAATTCCTGCCGGAAGCGAGAGAGAGAGAGAAGGGCAAGAGAGAGGAGCGGGACTCTAATAATCTAATCCCAATTACGCGCGGAATCGCGGTCTCGAATCAACGTCGTGAGGAAGAGGCCGGCCGCAAGCATTCACGGAATCTAACGGATTAAAGATGAGCCGAGTGGGTGTACTCGGATTTATGCTCGCCGGCTCGCGTGCGTGTGCACGGGGGTGTGGAACGGCGTGACGCGGATCCGCGCAGAGTATCCCATCCTGCGGAAGAAACCTGGAACGATCCCTCTCTCTCTCTCTCTCTCTCTCTCTCTCTATCTTATTCGATCGTCCTCCTCTTGCCCGCGGGGCAGTATCGCCGGACATTATGGCATATACGCGTATACGCGGCATTACCGTCGGGGGCTCCCTCCTTCCACCCTGTGCACCTCCTCCGCTCGCCTCCGTTACCTTCCCGTCATCTCTCTCGCCGCAGTTATAATTCCGCGGTGCAAACTCCATAATCTAGTCACCGTATCCCCCGGCATCTCTCTTTCTTCGAACGATACCGCTTTTATAATGCGTGAGGTATATACGCGATCGTTCCCTCTCGGATTATCCGTTCGATCGATACCGCCAATCCTAGGCGAATTCTTCGTGTCCGGTGTCCAATCACGCGCCGCTCAGAGACGTTTCGATAAAACGGTTGCCTCCTCGCAACACCGTTCGTTAAAGCGAAACGTTCGTTCGAGTAATATAATTGCGCGCCGAGGTTTGAAAGTGCTGAACGAGAGCAAAACGCATCTTTAGCGCATGTCTGCCGAGATGCACGTGGAAACTTACTTTGTGTTGACTGACTAATATCGTCAGTACGTGCGAACTAACGTTTTGCGTCTGATATCTCTGTAAAATTTTTGCTCGAATGTTTCAATATTAAAGAATGCCGCGCGCCATTTATGTTTATTCAACCTAATCTCTGAGACGGTTCGAGTTTTTCGTCGACGTGTTACATCGTGCGAACGACATTGATACGTTATCGGGAACCGGGCGTGTATGTGAGAAATAGTCTGGAAAACGAAGATAGCGCGACGCGGCAAGGTACGACGAAAAAACATCTGCCAATCTGACATCACCTGCCTCCTCGACTTGCCTATTTCTACTTCACAATTTAATTTCGACTAGGAAAGCCAGGAAGAATAAACGGGAGAATAAAACCAGCGGCGTCGACTTCACATCACAGACGTATGGCCGTCAAACGGCTTTGTTTTCGCAGGGTCCGGCCGTAATTAAACGATAGCATCTTAATTGTCTCCCGACCATTCTAACGTCGCCAATTCATGGCCACGCGATCGTTTCGAGGGTAGAGCATCAAGTTTCGACTGCTCTCCACAGTGCGTTGTCATGATTTGCGCGTTCGTCAAAACTGCGCACGAAAATAATCTCGTTTTTTTAAAACAATATTTTTTACAAACATTTTTTAGTAAACATTAAAATCGGTTGTTAAAAAAAAAAAACAAAAAAAACAAATTGTAGATGCAACGGCGTTTCAAGCAATTTATTATTTTTGAAAAGATGTAAAAAGTATTAAAAAAAAATAATAATAAAAATAAACCGAGAGAAACAATTCATCGAGGCGGAAGTAAAACTAAAAAACGAAACGCCGATCGATCTACAAGCGCGTAACAGCGGACGATACAAAGTCGGACATAATTACAACTTTGGAGAAAGTCGAGGAGACGATCACAGGTGGCTGATGAGTGTTCAATAGTGAAAAAGGGAAGCGCCATGACATAACGCGCGGCGGAAAGAAAGACGACGGAGAGAGCGGTGGGATCTACAACGAAGGTGGGGAAGGGACGAAGGGATGGGGTGAGGAACGATTCGGCGAAGGGAAGAGCGACCGCTCCGCGATGATGGGAGTTAAACGTTCGGCGAAGAAGAGCGACCGCGAAGTCGATGCACCGAGAACCCCCTTTTGTTTGTCGCGAACGTTTCGCCCGAACGTACATATATCCCTTTTGTATCCTGCGAAGATAGGAGGCATCCGTCCGAGTCCCTACGGGGCCCACATGGCGAAACCATTGGCCGCGTTTATTCGGCACGAAATACGCAAGATGCGTGCAATTATGGCCTCTCAATTATCTCGTACGCGTCTCGTTATTTATTGAATATATCGTGCCTGTTTATTTCTCAGGCGAGCTTGCGTGCCGCGGTAAGAGGAAGAAAACGGGTGTCCTCGAAGGGTAGGAAGAGGTTGAGGCGGTTCCTTTTCTGTCGGGCGAGTTTCGACACAGCTGAAACGTGCGGGACCCACATATTGTTCGTCGGTCACCCGAGCCGGGTGTAGCTTACGAAGAAAACCGGAAGCCGTCCGAAATTCCGCGTCGCGCGCAAAATCAAACCGCAAACTTTCGCGTGCTCCAAAAAAACAGAACGCGCGCAGAACAAACAGGGCGCATTACTCGAGACACCTCTACGTCCACTTGTCACACTCTTCAAACCGTAATAATAATAATAAAAAAATTTTAAATAAGAGAAAAAAATTAAAATAAGAGAAGATCAATGGAAGATTGATGTTAGTTTGTTATTTAATATTTATTAAATGTATTTACAAATTTTTTGCAACGCGCGTTTTGACGTAGGAATGAAGTCATTAAATTAACATTGCAAATTACATCAATAAATATTAAATAACACACCAACATCGATGTCTGGATTCTTATTGGCATTATTTTTAATTTTTTTAATTCGAAGCCAACCAATTCTCGATTAATAATGATTTTATCAATCATACAGTTAAGTGCAAAAAGTACTGAAAATAACGTATTTTAATACAAGATTAGAAACCATTGCTTGCAACCATTGCACTTTTAATTGCAATAACATCGTAAGAGAACGTAAAAAAAATAAAACAAAAATGTGTAAAGAGAATAATTGCCTAACACAGAACATAGTAACAAAAAGTTACAAATGACAATTTTTTGCGACACTTTGACGAGGAAAATATTCGAGATTTGTTCTTTCGAACGTGTTTCACGTCTTCTTCTTCTAGTTCCAAGAAAGATTATCAAAATGCGTCAAAATCGCGAGGAGTACAACGCACAGCGCGCGGCTTCGCGATACAATTAACCGCGGCCGCGCGTTGCTCTTATTATTGTTATTACGTGGCTCGACCAGCTTTCTACTTAATATATGTACACACACACACAGGCCGAGCCTGATAAGAACTATCCACGACCGACGTCGTTTAACTCTGACGCATACAAAAGTACGCGGAAACCCACGCGGCAGCGCGCGGATTGGTCGTTTGCTTATGCGCTCCGCGGCTCCGTATGTGTGTTGTGTGCAAATACCGGTACAAAATAATTACACCCCGGTCTTGCAGTGTCTTCGATCGCGCGCCAATCAGCCCCGCCATCGTCGCCGGAGGGAAAAAAAGAGGGCACCGATTTGCACTTACGATTCAAATATTCATCGCCGATCTGTCCCCGGTTCTGAGAATAATAATAATAATAATAATAAGAATAATAATAAAAATCGCGTATAATAGTTTTATTTACTGATCGCTGTCTTGTAATTTCGCAATGAGAATATCGACCGCGCGCGCGCTTTGTCGATAACGAGCGGCGTTTGCTAATGCGCGAATGCAATGCGTGTAAAACTTGTAACAAACTACGCGACTACACGCCCGATTTGCTTAGTAACACGCAATCGATAATTATCTCCTCAAGCGGATACGGACTAATGCGTTTAGAATCGGAGAAATAACAAAGCGC